ATCGCCGTGCACGACACGGGCTCCAATAACGATGTCATCACTAAGAGGACGTGGTCTGCCGGTACCCTGCATCCATATGCAGGGCAGACTGTACGCATGCGCATATATGATTTGAACACGGGAGGTTGGGGCCATATCGCGATTGACGATATCACCATATCTGCGGCGCTGACTCCGACCCCGACGCCAACAGCGTCCGCCATCGGCGATCCGCACATGCAAAACATCTACGGCCAGCGGTTCGACTTGATGCGGCCAGGCAAGGTCATGCTTATCAACATACCTCGCGGCAGCGTCGGCAAGGACGCGCTGCTCGCCGTGGAGGCCGACGCGCGTCGATTGAGCAGACACTGCGCCGACATGTACTTCCAGCAGGTGAACATCACTGGGGCATGGGCGGACAAGACCGAGAGCGGCGGGTTCTTCTACGACGCCTTGACGGAGCGCGAGCCGCGCGCGAGGTGGGACAAATTCGGGCCGGTTGAGCTCAAAGTTGTCCACGGGCTCACGAATTCGGGGATCCGCTACCTGAACTTGTTCGTGAAGCATCTCGGGCAGACGGGGCTTGCCGTGGGAGGTCTTCTCGGAGAAGATGACCACACGGAGGCGGCGACCCCGACGCAGGACTGCAGGAACACGCTTTCCCTGAACGCGGCAACGCATAGTGACGGAGTATCGCGCGTTGAAGTTTCTGTGGCCACAGCGAGTTCCTATTAATCATTAGGGTCCACATTCAGCCCCAATGCAAGCGTGTGCGCATGATCCGTTAGGCTTCCACCGCTTCGGCTGCGCTCTATATATATACTAACTTGGTCACGTGGCATCGCAGCGGGGGCGCCACAGACAACAGTGGGTAGTCTCGGTTTATGACGTGGAATAGCTACATTTAATTTTGCGCACGCTGCACCTTCCACTTTGCCTGCGCGTCCGAGGGGATGGAGGTCTCAGGGAGGCATCGCAGCGGGGCGTGCCAAACAAAAACAGTCGATGCTCCTTCCCGCAAGGTTTTTCATGCGAGCCTCTCGGCGAGGCGGCCGTCGCACCAGGTTGCCAGCCGCATCGAGTCCGCAGGCTGTGGAGGAAGTGCTGTGACGTGTTCCCCCCCCAACAGTCAGGCGATCGCAAACATGGATCAAGGATCAAGGGGGCGTGGATTACCGACGGCCCCTCTTCCATGAGAAATCGCGGATTTCCGCCGCCGACCGAGGCGGCACTGGCCGCATTTTGGGGAGGGCACCTCCCCCGATCCATGGATTTGGCGACCGCGCGCCAAATCCATGGATCGTTAATCCATGCTTGCGCGCCCCCGGAACCAGACGGGCGGAGCCCTCCCATCGATGGGCGCCACAAATCGAGCAGAGACGCGGCGCCCTGGCTTGCCTACAGGCCCACCGGAGAGTGTTCTAAGGATCTCTCGTGGTTTGCATTCAAAATGAACTTAGAACATGTCTGGCTGAGGCAGTCTTGTTCCCGATATGCTTAGTGGGGTTCTGGTTTCCTTCCCTCCCGCGCCCCACCCGCGTTCACCTTCATTTCCCCCCTTTTGCATAACCTTGCCAGTCTCACCACAGTGGACACACACACACAACACAACACAACACAACACAACGGATGCGGATACTGATACAGGAGCGGCTGAGGATGCGGACGGGGATGGGGGACATGGGACAATGATGATGCTAATGATGGTGGTTGTGGTGCTGAAGCGCATGCAGGTGCTGATGCCGATGCGGATGACAATGGTGATGTGGGCCAGGATGATGATGCTGATGATGATGATGCTGATGATGATGATGATGATGATGATGATGGCGATGATGATGATGATGATGATGATGATGATGATGATGATGTTGGTGTTGGTGTTGATGCTGATGGTGATGATGATGGTGATGATGATGGTGATGATGGTGATGATGATGATGGTGATGATGTTGGTGATTATGATGGTAGTGGTGGTGGCGATGATACGGATTTGAATGCGGTTGACGACGGTGACGAGGATATTGACGACGATGATCATGTGGATGACGATGTTGATGGATCCCAGTTTCTGCTCTGGCGGGGGGGATCCCCTGGGGCCCGGGGAGGCCTCGGGCAGCGGCGGCGCCCGCCAGGGGCCCAGGGCTCTCTGCCGGGTGGCAGCGCCTCGCCGAGCCGCTGACGGAGATCCCTGCCTCCCGGCCGCCCTCTCCGCAGAATTGCTGCGCGAGCTTCCCCGAGCCCAGCGCCCCACGCTGCCGCCTCCACATCGGAAGGTGCCCCGGGTCCGGTGGACCGGGACCCGCCGGCAGTGCCAGCACTGCGCGAAGGCTTTCGTTGTAGCCAGGCCAGGGCCAGTCGCCGGGTGCAGCACCCTACGCCCCCGCAGTCAGGCGCTTAGAGTCGATGCGTCACGGGGAGGTAGGGGCCACGCACTAGCTGCACATGTTTCGCCGCTCGCGAACGGATCAAGCGAACCTGACACGCTTGCGCTGCGGGGGGCGCAGCACGGAGCGGCAAAAGGCGCTGCAAAAATCATGCAGAATGGGCCGCTACAACAAGCGGTCCAGCCTGTTAAAACGCAATTTCCAGCCTTGTGGATTGTGACGCCGCTGTTCTCGAATTGTTGGGTTCGGGTCGAGTTTCTAGTTTGGTGCCGCTTGGCGTTTTTGTTGCATCCGTGTCGTCGTCGCCACGTTTCTAGCCCGTAGGGCCCGCTCCCACAATGGCGCTTGTTGGCGCGAGGTTTGCAGTAGAACATCAGATGCATCGACGATGCTGCATACACCCTCCCCCCTGTATCGACGATGGTGCATACAGTCAACCCGCGCAGTTGGGATGGGCAGCCTTCCCAAGGGTACCCTTGCATTCTTGCCCCTCTGGCCCGCCCTTTGCGACTTTAACTCGCCAGTCTGTTTCGCAAAACGTCACCATTGCCCTCCAAGGCCCTGGCATCCTAACTCACCGAGCGCGTTCCACTACTCGCAAAGTACCTACTCGCAAACGCCAGAAAAATAGTTTATTGCCTCGGCGTAATGTATCGTACGTTCCACGTGGCGGATCCAGGCCATTTGCGAGTAGTGACTTTGCGAGTAGTGGGACGCGCTTGCATCCGAACCGCGCGTCCTTCTGATACGGGTCGACGGTCCGCCCTCCCGCCCCGAGCCCCTGCGAGTCCTTTTGCTTCTTTTCTGCCTCTGCGCGAGGCGCCCCCCCCTTGCTGCAAGACGGGCGCCCCCTTGGACGGCACCTCGGATTGAAGGTCCGCTGTCAAGGAAACCGCCGCCCATCTTGAAAGAAACGAAAGGAAAGGGAAAGGAAAGGAAAGCTTCAAGGAAAGGAAAGCGACAATGGAAGGACAGGAGAGCTCCAAGGAAAGGGAAGGAAACCGCATGTCCGAGCTTCAAGACATGGATAGCGACAATGCTGGGTTTTTCAAGGAAGATAAAAACGGCGCAAACATAAACGTTTGGCGCTCCGCGCGGATTTGTTGGATCCGCGCTTGGGCCCTTCTGGCAGCGCCTCCGGCGCCGCTTCTGGCGCGCTCCGCGCGCCGTGGAGGGGGGCCCAGCGCAGTTCCAAGAAATCACCGTCGAGGGTTGTGTTTACGCCGTTGTTGTTTATACTGTTAGTTTGTCCTTCTTCTTCTCCTTCTTGCTCTTCTTGTTCTCCTTCCAGGATCCAAGTTCAAGGAAGAGTCCAGCAACGGCCTCGCTTCGGAAAGGAGCTGCCATGAATCCGTACAACTGTTTCAAAGTTGCTCCTGCCTGGTCCGGATAAGGGATCCGAGGTCTCAGGCGAGCGCCCCAATTTGAGAAGGAGCGGCCAGCCATCCGCGCGCACTCGTGCCACAGGTTTTGCAGTTCTGGTAGTGTGTTGTGAGAAAGTCCTTGGCGAGAGCCCCACTCCGAAAGCGTGCCAAAGAGTCAAAACAACTAATTACCGCCCGCAGACGACGACGGCAGTAGCAAACTCAGGCAGACAGAACAACGACGGCCACGAGCGATGACGGCACGAGTCCTGGTCGTCGTCGGTTGCGGTTTGCCGGCGTTTGTTCCGTCATTTCCCGGCGGCGAGTAGGGACAGGGGGGGGATGAGGGCGGGAGGCAGGGAGGGGACAAGGGGGCGGTCGGGATGGGGAGGGTGATGGGGGCAGGGGGTCGGGAGGGGCAGGGTGGGGGGGAGGGGGGGAAGGGGGATGGAGGAGTCCCCCTGGTCCCAGCGCGTCGCAGGATGTTCCGATGGCAAGCGCCCGCGAGACGCGTTCCCTCAACCAGCTTTCCATCCCAGTAGTTGTTGGGCTGTCTAATTCGGATGTGCGCGGCGCGAAGGCGAGAGCCGCGTTTTGAAAACCACCAGCCCTCCATCCTTTGAGCTGGTGGGATATTTCTAGCCTCGCGACAGTGCATTGCCAGGAAATCCCAAGCGAAACGCATGGCTCTGGCCTACGGGCACGTTTCATGGCGCGACAGGGGGGATGTTGATGAGAAAGAAGAGGGAGGGAAGGAGGGAGGAGGCAAGAGGAAGATGAGCCATTTGTTGACAGGTGTATCGCGCCACGGCGTAAAGAAGGAGGAGGTACGCTCGGAGACCCCCCTTGATGGACGCGCTCTTTGGCCGAGGGTTCCTCGAGGAGTCCTCGGCCCCCCCCGAAGCCTCATCGGCAGCAAGTGCAGAGGCGGTGGGCGCCCCTGCGGCCGCGTGAGCGCCGCGGAGCCTCCTCGGGGCCACCACGGCGCGGGCCGCAGGGCTGCCGGCCCGTGCTGCTGGGGGGCCCCGCTGCCACCGCGCGCACTCCCGGGGCCTCCGCCGGCACCGCGGCTGGCCGGCGGGAGGGGCGGGGAGGCGGGAGGGCGGCGGGGGAGGCGGGGAGCCCCCCATGAGGGCGGCGAGGGAGGGGGTGCTGGCCTGAAGTTGGGCACGTCTCTCCACAGGCGGACTGTCCCCAGAACAGTTTTGAGCAATGATCTGGGGGCGATGCTGGTAAGGGGACCCGGTGAGTGGTAGGGCCCTGGGGCCCCTCAATTGGCCGGGTTCACCAGGCCAGGTTTGCCGCAGCTGGTGTTTTTCGGGTGGCGGCAGCTCCGGTTAGTGGGAATGGGGCGGGGGGGCTCCCCCGGTACAAATCATTAAACCAGATTTCACTAAGCCCAGTTCTGCCAACGCCCGAATCAGGGTGGCGAGGGAGGGAGTGCTGGCCTGAAGTTGGGCATGTCCCTCTACAGGAGGACGATTCCCAAAGTAGTTTTATAAAAAACAGTCTGGGGACGATAATGTGACCGTTTCTGCACATGTGTAGGCATCTCTGGAGTATTTTTGATGTTTCGCCAGAAACTCGCCTGTAGAAGGACATGCCCGACCTGATGCTGGCCCAAAGGGAAGCCGAGCCCAAGGCTTCGCTCTGTGAGCCCCCCACCCTGGGCGAAAACCGGGCTGCAGACCACGGCTCCTCACCGGTGTCGGTGCCCTCGCCCCCGCCGGCCAGACGGACGCCCGAGGACGCGTTTTTGGGGGCTGGCCGTGCTCGGGTTGTCGGGAGTGCTCGGCATCGACGAGCGCTTCCAAGGCGCGCAGCACAGCATGGCAGGAGACGCGGGGCGGCAGCATGGCGATGCGGCTCGCGCCAAAATCACGACGTTGGCGCACTGCGGCGGAGATGCTGGTGCATCGTGGGGTAAATCCAAGCATCGGTGCACTTCCGAATCGTCGCTGCTCCCTCGCTGTACTTCGCGCTGGTGCCAGTGATTTCCCAGGGTTTCGTTTTGCCTCGTCGGGCAGAGTGTAGGGATCCTCCGAACCGAAGGAGACGCGGGGCGGCAGGGAGGGAGCGAGGCCTGGCCCCGGAGTAGAGGAGCGAACAATGACACAAACATAAAAACTCGGAGGTCCGCGCAAATTTCTCGGATCGGGGCTGGACACCCCTCCCTGGCGCGCGGAGCGGCGCGCCAGGGGCGGCGCCGGAGGCGCCGCTGAGGGGCTCCAGCGCCGATCCGAGAAATCCGCGCGGACCTCCGAGTTATTATGTTTATGTCATTGTCCGTTCCCCTAGTGTAGGAACCCTCCGAACCGAAGGAGACGGGTGCGGCAGGGAGGGAGCGAGGCGGCTTGGCCCTGGAGGCCTCCCCCCCCAGCGTTGGGTCGGGCATGTCATTCTACAGGCGGATCTTGGACGAAAAATCAAAAATATGCAAACAGATCTAAGAATAGCCACAAACAAAAGTCACAAAACATCGTCCCCAGACTATTTTTTGACTATTCTGGAACACTCCTCCTACAGGTGGCTCGTGGACGAAAAACCAGACATTCATATAAAAACGCAAGAATCGCCCCCAAAAATCGTCACAACACATCGTCCCCAGACTATTTGTTTGCACTGTCTTTGAACACTCCCCCTGCAGAGGGACCTGCCCGACCTGACCCCCGCGGGGCAGCACCGCCCCGCGGGCAGGCGGCAGCCGCCGGCCCGGCGGCGGAGACGCCGCGGGCGCGGGCCGCGGGAGGCGCGCCCTCGCCGCCGCCTGGCATCGCCGCTGCCGGCGTGGGCTCTGGGAGGTGCGCGCGTGCAGGCGGGCCTGTCCTGTCCCTCCATCAGTCGGGCCGAACGAAAGGGGGGGATAGGGAAAGGGGGGTTACGAAATCTGCTGCATGCAGCTTGTTTCGGCCCCACCGAGGGGCCCAGTCCTCGATACATGGGCGCCTCCCGGCTCCGGGAGGCGCCGGGAAAATCAGCCACGCGAGCTGATTCTCAAACCCCCCTTTTGCTATCCCCCCCTTTCGCCCGACCCGACTCAAGGGCTTAGGAAAGGCACCTACTCTGGTGTACGGGGCGCTGTGCACCGAAACTCCTGTGGGCTGACAGGGTCAACCCTGCGTGGTGTGCGGCGTCCTGGCGTCCTCTAGGCTTTGGGGGTTCCCAGGAGGTTTACAAACCACGCACTTGCAACCCAGGGAAAGGTTGTTGATCATCCCTCCCTACAGGAGAAATGTTCGACAATAATTGAAAATTACCTTGTGACGTACCCAACCCATTTGTATCAATGGAAACGAGGAGTTGGCCGAAACTTGCATGGACAATCAACTTGATGTGTAAGCTACTTGGGACACGCGCCTATGGCATGATGCGCAGGAGAACCATACCAGAACCAGGGGCGACAGCTACAGGCTCGAAGAGGACATGGGGAGCCGGGAACGCAGAGCAGGAGAACAACGTGCGGGAACCCGAACCCTCAGCACGGCAGCAGCAGAGAGAAGCTGACTGCAGGAGGAGAACAAGGACGAAAGCGGCGTCTAATTTGAGTCTGCGGTGGGTACCCACTGTGCTGTGCCCCTCAGCAGCCCTGGAAAGTGGCAACAGTTTCACAGATCGCAGCCCCCCAGGGATGGCGAGGTCTAAATTGAGTCTGCGGTGGGTACCCACTGTGCTGCGCCCCTCAGCAGCCTTCGAAAGTGGCGACAGTTTCACAGATCGCAGCCCCCCAGGGATGGCGAGGTCTAATTTGAGTCTGCGGTGAGTACCCA